ATCGGCCCTGTAAAGACTGCCGTATCGGAAACCTCACAGGAGGGGCAGTGGGTGCTGCTCGTGCTGTCATGCAGTGTCTGTGTGGGTTCAGCAACCTCAGGGGGCTCTTTTTCCTTCTCGTAAACACATGTTTAAAGCCCAACGCGCCTCTGTGGTCATACAAAAGAACACCGTGCTTGTTTCTAAAGCAAAGTGGCAGTAAAATAAGAAGAGGAACCCTTGATGAGGGCAAGTAGTCGACACCATGGACCCGAAGCACAGACCCAGACACACCACACCAGGCAGCAATCCATTCTGTTAAGCATAAGGTCACCAACTTCGCAGCTATGAGCCACAGGCTTGGCTGAAACCATGGTGTGTGTGTGTGTGTGTGTATCTGTGTTTTTCTCCCATGGCACCTAATGGACCACATCACTGATACTGAACACACTCTTTTAATTTTATTTGATTCTTTTGCTTATCTAAGATGACAACAAGGATTGACACGATCTGAATTGGTATTTAACCCATGTCTATAAAGGCAGGCACACCCATTTTTAAGAGTTCTTCAGAGACTCGAACTCTTGGACCCCATGGCAGTGGATTTGGTTCGGCTTTAGTTGGTTCATTTTCAGTGTGAATTCTTTTAGCCTATCTTTCTGAGTCTGCAGATGCGTGTGAATGATACTTTCACCTGCAAGGGAAGTGCTTCCGGGGACGCAAACTTAAAACGGGAGGTAATTCTTCAATCTGTTTTAGAAATCCCGTTGTTCACACTCCCCAAGAGTAGTTCATGATTTAGGAATTAGGACAGATGGGTTTTATGCATATCAGGCACTTAAAAAACCCAACTTTTCAAAGTCTGGATGAAATAAATCAGCCACATTCACAGACCTGAGAACGTCTATATCAGTTTCAGAAGGTTTGAGGGGGCATTAGTGAAACTAGAATCCCACTGTGGTTGCTAGTGACTGCTGCATAGGTGCCAACTCACGGTAGCGCCACGTATAACAGACTGAAACACTGCCTGAGCCACACCACCCGCACCTGGCCAGCATGCCAACTCCACTGACGCCTTCACCTCAGAGAGCTCATCTCTCAGCACAATGCTGGACAACGTGCTGCTGGATCTATGTCTTCAAGGGCTAATTTTTGGTAGTCGACTGCCTCTTCTTTTCCTCCTTCTTAGTCTGGAAGCTCTGTTGAAATCTACCCACCTGCTATTTTCAGAAATACCTGTAGCATAGCGTCCACGTCGATAGTGAGCTCAAGCCACGCAGTAGGAGAAGTAGCAGACGGATGGCGGTTAAGAGAAGGCACTGTGCCATTTGAGTACCCACTAGACATGATTCATTGAGTTAAGCATTTTATATATATTAGCTCAAAGTTTCACAACTGCCCAGTGCCTTACCCACCAGAGCCCCTTATAAATGAAGTGTACTTGTTACAGTTAGGACAAATTGACAACGTTCAAAATCTGTGACCACTTTCAGTGTCATAGATGCTTAATTTGCTGCACGTGGAATGACAGCATTTTTGTAAGACACATTCTTCTGCATTTAAAATGGAATAGACAAAAAAAATGGAATAGACAAGTTCCCAGGCCAGGTTATTATTTCAACATTTAAAATATCCTCGGATTGACTGGGAGATTAGACCTCACTGAAAAAAATTAAATGTAGGCTGCTAGTTCAGGATCAAGACAAGCAATCTCTTGTTGGAGACAGCAGACCACGACAGAAATCCTCTATGCCCCTAAGGGGCTGCCCAGCCTTGTCTGGTTGGACAATTGAGTCTCTCAGTTTCTTCATCTCTATAGTGGTCTGAAATGAGCCTTCATGGAGCTGTGGGTTAGGCATTAGTCTGCTCTCTGCTAGGTTGATGGTTCAAAACCACCAGCCATGATGCAGGAAATAAGAGAGGAGGTCACCGGCTCACATAAAAATTCACAGTCTTGAAACCCCTATAGAGTCTCCGTGGGTAGAAATGAGCGTGCTGGCAGTGGCCTGGTTGTGTCCCACGATGACGGGATGAGGGAAGCAGGGGCACGTGAATACATACAGGCTGCCGGGGGACTCAGGGAGGATTCAGCGATCGCTATCATTTTCCTTGCTCCTTCTCCCCCGCTCCTGTTTTTAATGGTTACACAGCTCAGCCCCGCGAGGGTCCTTTTTCACGAGACTCGAAGAAGACAAACTATATGAATGCATGTTGGAAAAGTACAAAGTCCCAGATGTTAGAAAATAAGATCCATGAGGTTATTCCTTTTCAGTTGTTGTTTTGTTTGTTTGAGATGAATATGTTTGTCACTAAAGACTCCAAGTCCATTTCAATTTTACTTTTCTTCCTTTTTTTCCTAAGCCACTCAGACCATCATCCACGTTGGAGAGAGTAGACTAATGTCTCATTAATGCCTCTTCAGGTTTGAGGGATGAGGAATCTGGAGAATCTGTTTGTTTGTGTTTTTCAAAGAAGCAGACTATATATTTACTCAGCCCATCTCAAGAAATGAAATCAACAACAATATCCTATTAAACCCTCCCTATATGTGGTTCTTCTTCCTCATCCCCTTCCTCCTCCCTCCCTACTCAACAACACACCCCTCCCCACTCCCTGTCTAGCCCGTGAGCGTCTTCCCACACACCTATATTATCTGCCAAGAGGACATGTTAGCTATGTTTCCCCTCCTCCTAGTGAGGGAACAGGAGATAACTGTTCTCCACTAGAAGACTTTGACCACAATTTGAGTTCTTGTCATCACGTGCAGGGAGACTTTGGGCTATTCATTAACTTTTCTAAGTCTTATTAAAAACAAAAAACCTGCCAACTGGGGGAAGTTAAGGGAGAGCAGGTCCTAAATTATTGAAAATGCAAAAAAAAAAATTATTGAAAATGCTTACGTTCTGCCGGAGCTGTGAAATATAGTTGTAGACCACAGATATGGCCTCAATCAGATTCTTTCTAAGATGGAAGTATGTGTGTGTGTGTGTGTGTGTGTGTGTGTGTGTGTGTGTGTGTGTGTTCAAGGTCTGCTTTCCAGGAGATGGAGACCCTGGCCGCTGTCCTAATCAGAAAAACAACAGCATCAACCTCCACTTGCGGACTGGCCCACCACGTGCTCCACAAACACAGCTTGTCCTCCGGGCAGACAGCGTGCTCCCCCTCTCACAGCTGTGGAAACTGGAGCTGGGGGGGTGGGGCAGTCTGCTCAACCTGACTCCTGGGTGGTTGACACTGTGGAGATTTTAACCCAGACTCTCTCTTTTCGCCACACATTCTACACAGTGATCTGTGGCACGAACAAATCTCTGCCTCAGTCAAGCTTCTCTGCCTCTCTCGCCAAGTCTCTGCTACTTCATTCGTAAAGCATAAATAATAATAATAATAGCTCCCTCACGCATAAGGTTGCAGGCAAAGATTAAATTAATTCCTGAAGTAGGGAAGTGCCTGATACAGAATCTGTGCGAAAGATGTCGGTTGTTGTGTGAGCGGTCAGTTACCATGAAGCTTCGACTGGACCATTCACACCGAGTCTGGGAGTTCTAGTTCTTCCGTAAATGAAAGGGCCGGGCTCATTGTTGCCGGACAAGCAATGGATTGCACTGTGATAAAGGAGAGGCGGGTGGTGAATCTTTTATTACCATCTCTCTTTGTTAGACAGCAGGCTCCTTGTCTACCCGAGACTAATAACCTTGTCTTCAGGCCAAGCTTTCCAGCTGGGCCCATGCATTTCTAATTATGTTCCCACTGATCACTCTACTGGGATGACCCCGCTCCAGTGACTCACAATGAAGCCACATGACCTAAGGAGATGTGAGCTCTTAAGTGCCCATTAAAATGAAATAACTTCTTTTTCAAAAACATTATATTTCTTTATAAAGTTCTTTGATTCATGGGGGGAAATGTTACGTCCAGATTCTAAATGCTGTTAATCTGCCACAAGGCTGAGCAAATATGACTCCAACCACGCTGTAACAGAAAAACACAGTGGCTCTGGGAGAGTCTGCTGCACATGGTCTACACCATCGTAGGGCCAGCACAGCTTTCTAGGTGAGGGAGGTGGGGGCAACCTACTCGACCAGCAACTATGGCTAGCCCCAAACTTGTCGAGCCTTCCAGCAGCTGTTATGAGTTGAATCCACAGAGCTACACTGTCATTGCTGTGCAATAAGATGACCACCTTGAGATGGATTAATATTCTTATATTATCCTATCAACATTGCCTAACAAGGAGGAGAAACAGGTAATGCCAAGAAAGAGAATAGATAAAAAGAAGGTACTTTTAAGAAAACAAAAACCCAACAACCCTTACTTTACTGGTAGAACTCTACTTCTCTCTCTGATTGTATTTACTAGCTCCTCTTTGCTCCCTGCCACAAAGAATACAGCAGTGTGTATGCACAAGTCCTATCGATGATGGTGCGATGCTAGCTCTGTACGCCTAAAAAACAAACCAAATCTAGACCCCCGATGAACCAGTCACTCCATGAGGTGCTTCCCTATCTTTCATCTCACTTTGTTGGATCAGTCATCCCATGGAAGATTCTAATTTGCCTGTTCGACTTTTCTGTCTTTTCCAGCAGTACTATGTTGTTGATCCTCAGCACAGCACCAAGAAGCAGATCTTTCCAATTCTTTTCCCCCCAGAGTCTGGTCAAAGGGATGGTTATGGATACAAAGAACTATCATTGACAGAGTGCACGCTCCCTCTGCCCCTGAGTCTGAGCCTCCCCAGAAAAGTACTAATGTCACTTTTTAAAAAACAGGAGTCAAGCCAGGATGCACTGAAGTCCCCAGCTGGTGCCACACCTCCCCCTTCAGAGGGGCAGACACCACCAGAAACAACGATGAGCAAGTTTACGGTCATAGCGAAAGTGCTAAACTTTAAAAAGACCAGTGTCTAGAGTCAGACACCCAAATAGTCTGTGAATTATGCCTCTTCCTCTTGAGTGACTGGGTGTCTCTTTCTTTCTCCTTCCTTCTCACCCCCACCCCCCCATCCCCCACCCCTTTTTAGCTACCTTTGGAGTTACAATTGCAGGGCAAGCAGCGGTCTCGTTCTCTCTGCCGATAGAACCCTTCCTTGCACCTCTCGCAGTGCACGCCGTCCGTGTTGTCCTGGCAGTGGAGGCAGCGGAATCCATTTCCCGTCTGTCTGTGAAGTTCCTGATCAAAGATGCATTGCCGGGACTTCCCACTGCAATCGCAGACTAGGGAGGGGGACCAAAAGACAGCGGCATCAGGAAACAATCACTCCGGAGCAATGTTCCCAGGTGTTTTGTTATTCACAATATAAATTATACAAGCTTATGACATATTAATGTAAGCAAATGGACTGCAACGAGTCACACAGGGACTGCAGCAGACAGGGGAGTTCCGCTCCGTCTAAAGGAAGCTGCCACCAAGTAGTGCTGGGGAGGTGCTGCCTGGGGGAAGGTGAGTCAAGTTTGACAGATTCCTTAAGAGAAACCAAAAAACGTCTACTCATCTGCTTTTATGTGAAAGTTCCTGACTTACAGATTGGCAAGGGATTCACTTTTCAAAACACTGTGTAATCAAGCAAAACAAGTACACGGATTAAAGAAGGCCTGAGGGTGGCCCCTGGCACAACTATCTAGCCAATGAGGGTGTCATCTGTTTAAACTCTATAGCATCTGTCCCTCCAGTGATGGTCAAGGTGGAGAAGGTAAGATGACTATCTGGACAGGTATCTTCTTCCTTCTCAATGGGATCGGTCCTCAAGGCAAACCTTCTTTGTATATGAAGCCTGCCCCTTCCAAATGTCTAGGAAAGGCCTCTCTGCAGATGAGCCAAAGATGCACTGCGAGTGTGGCCTGGATGACATCCCCATACGGGACGGAAACACATCACGAGGCAACAGGGAGGTGTACTTAGTTGAGTACCTAGACAAGAAATGTGTCTGTCAGATTGAGAAGAGAAAGGTGATGGGCCCCACCTTAAAAGAATGGGATGGAATCCCAGTTCGGTTAGTTTCCTGGGAAAATCACTTCCACTCTCTGAATCTTCTTTTTTCTTCTATAAATGTAGACCACAGTACTTGCCTTCCCAGACAGGAGAAGGATTCCACTGGAAAAAGACTATCAAGTGCTTTTCGATATGCGAGTTCATGCCTCCATCTGTCTGATCCCAAAGCCCACTTCCATGTGGCCTGTGCCTAGTACCGTGACTTATCCGGAGTGCTCACCATAAAGTCAACAAACAGGCCAGATGCACTGTCCTGTGCTGGACTCTGTGTCCAGCTCTGAAGACACAGAGATGAAAATTCTATCGGTTGAGGGTCTTAACTGACTTCCTTCCAGGGCCTCCTAAAACTCACTCACTTGCTACTTTGGATGTTTTCGAAGATTGGGCCAGTGAACTAATAGCTATCCAGAACCTAATGGTTTCTAGTACTTTACATTCAACAGCTCAGTTAATTCTCACAATAAGATGGGCTTAATTATCACCATTTATCAAGGAATTAATGCTGATCGAAAATGGGTATTTTGCCTAAAGACATGGATTTTATAGCAAAGTGTGGTGAAGAAACCAAATGGTGCCCAGTTATCAGAAAGAAAACTTCTGGGGTCTTAAAGGTTTGTCTTCAAGCAAGCAGTCATTTAACTGAGGCAACAAGGAAGTCCACATGGAAGAAGCACACCAGCCTGTGTGATCTAAGGATTGTAAATAGCAAAATCTAAATTCAAAGGAGGGAGCAGTCTCAGAGCATAAATGATCAACATCTGGTTTGCAGAAGGCTATGGGAAAGCCAAAATCCACTTGCTGGGGTCCCACATGGGTTAACTCTCTGGTGACTCAGTCCCCTCTGACCAGAGTCGAGGGATGTGAACAGCCACGATATCGGACAGAGAGCACACAATTCATGCAGAAGTAGTTAGGTAAAAATGTAATACCTTATCATTTGATCTCCCTACTGACCTAGTGGCTTGGCCTTGGCTTACACACCTACTCTCTTCATTCATTTCTTTATTCATCAGACATTTATTTCACATATTGTTCTGCATGGCACTTTGTCAGTCAACCCTTTGAATGTGTGAAAATAGCAGTATTTTCTCTCTCTAGGTGAAACTGAGTCCTTCCCTCTCCTGGTATTTCTAAAATTTCTCATGACATCATCTTAGATTCCTCAATTCCTCTCTTGAAACAGACGCTAAAAACTCTGGCCTGAAAGTAACCAGAATTCACTACATTACAATTTAAGAGTGATAGGAATCCGCATTGTACGTATACTTCCACGAATAAAGCTCAACACCTTGTTAAATGTAAAGTATGTTAAGCTGATCGTCAACTCAAACCAATGCCCCTGGGCTTTTCCACAGAAGTAGTGCCAAGTGAAATCTTTCCCAGCTAATACTGGTATGTTTGGGGTTTGGTTTTTTTTCTGGACCTCAAGCAGATGTGCCGCACAGCTGTCATAGGCTGTGAAATTTCTACCGGGTACATCGTTATGCACGTACAAGAGCTAACTTCAGCTGAATCACACGATGGATGTCTGTTGGGGAACAATCTCAAAGTGTGAGTAATCACTTTCACTGTGTCCTTATTCAGGTCACACTTTCTGTTGCTTCACTCCATCAGGACCACTTGTGATATATTTATTGGGAACACGAGTTACAGAAAGAGACCACCTAGTTCTCATCTCTTTAGACCACCTGTCCTTTCTCCTTTATGCTTGACCCTGAAAGAGCCGGTGTGCTTTCCAGCCTCCAGTGGGGTTGCACAGTACTTCCAGGAAGGGAGGTCTTATGCCAGCATCACACCCTGGAACATGTTCAACAGATTACAGGCCTA